CCATAAGAGTACATACAAAGTTTAAGTCACTATAACTTTTCAAAAAACCCGTGAATTGATTTAAAATTTTACAGGTAGCTTTTTAATAGTAATACGAATCTATAATAACAAATTCAACGTGCTAGCATTGTTTATGTATATAGCCTATACATCCTCAAGCGATTTGAGCTTTGAATATTTTTAGGGAAATCATACGAGTGTCAAATGATTCGAGTCATATTAATAGCATTCATGAGTATATACCCTGCATTCGTGTAGATTGATCGCTTCCAAATTGGGGCAATAACGGGCCAAACACTTGACAGCCCTGTCCGTCAACTGACGGCACCCTTTGCACTGGAAGCTACGAAGCTGCTTGCAACCTCTCACCAATGCTTCGACTCCGTTGTCGGTAAGTAACTCACACCAGGACAGGTTGATATGAGTGAGAAGTGGACAGCCATCCGAGAGATCCTTTAGAGAAATGTCCGTTATCTCGGGACACGAGTCCAAGTTCAGTCGTTGAAGTTTGTGACAGTGACTGCTTAGAGCCGCACATGTGGCGTCTGAGATCTTTTTACATTGGCTTAGGTTCAGTTCCTCGATGTTGGGGCACGACTCAGCCAACTTGCGCATCGAATTGTTCCCAATACTTTGGCACCCTCTGAGAGAGAGCTGTCTCAGGAAACCCCCGCATCTTTTCGATATATTTTCTATAACCGATCCCTGCGTTTGAAACGATCCCGAATTAATTAAATTCGAATAAATGTTTTTCGCGAAAAATGGTGTGAACGACGCCTTGCTTACCACTCCAGAACTCCTGGCTCGCGATTTGTTTCGACCGATTTAATTTTACAATGCTCAATGTAATTACATACTCGAGAAAATTATGAGAGATAATAAGAACGTTTTAATATCGTCGTTAAGGTTTTTATTTCATTGAAGAGCGAAACGGAGGAAAACAGATCTCAAGTAGTAAGCTACGCGCCGCAGTTTTGATTTACCTCTACGTCTCGTTGGAAATCGAAGAGATCGATTCTTTGCCAATTGGATCCATCGAGCGCCAACACGTTCCAGGCTTTGCTTACTTGTGCGCACCGGCATAGTGATACCACATCGAGATACGAGAGAATTCTACCAATGGTACGGCACTAACGTTACATATTTGCTTGATCTGACTACATAATAATGTACTAAGTAATTCTTCGAGCAAAACTCATGATATCACGAAGAAAAATCAACGAAATAAATAATTGTGTAAAAAAAAAATGGAGTGGAATTGGTGTATATTACGATACCTAAGCAGCAACTCTTTGGGCAGTTTCTTATTAATCTGCGCCTCGTCATCATGGAACACCCATGTTAGCTGGAACCAAAAGAAGGAACAATACTGATAAAAACTCATCAACTGATTCGATTTGTTCGACAGATTAACAAGACACGGAACATTTACGCATCAGACATGCCTCACAGTTCACATGGACAAAAAATTGAATGTACGAAGCGCACGATTATTTTGTCGATGATAACGCGAAGCCAGAGACGTGCTTGACCAACCTGCATGTAAGACTGCTTCATGGTCGTGACAGGGCTGTTGTGAGTGTGCGATTGCGATGTGTAATAACCGGCCTGATGATGATAATGATGATGATGTTGGTGGTGATGATGATGGTGATGATGATACGATGGATGCTGTTGTCTCCACCATTGACCACTTGCACCAGATTCCTCGACCGCCTGTACCCCTTGCCCGACTTGGCCCACTCCTACGCCCACGCGACTTACTTTTTTCTAAAACAACGACGATCACCGTCGATCACAGGACTTTTGCATTTCGTTGACACCAATCTTGCTCGAATATCATCTAGGTATCCTCTCTTTTCGTCTTTCTACTTATTTTCCGCACAGAAGATGACTATATGACGATTTCGAAAAAATGTTAGCGACCCAACTTCTCTTAGCAAGCCTAAAATCCAGAATTACTCTAGAGCAAATGGTGGAAATCTATTAGAAACTAACAAGTGCTTACTATTCAAGATATTTATGTCATGGAATAGAATGTGCTATACATGTGTACAGAGGATACAACTTCTATTCTGTAAATATCATATGACATTAATTTCGATCAATAATTTGTAATCGTGTAATGAAATAAAAGGGGACGGATGGTATTGAGCCATCTATCTATTTTTTCTACCTACATAATTAGTAAATCATTAATTGCCCCAGATTGTACTAATAATTAAGTATAAGGTTTCTATGCTCCGGTTTCTAAAATCGGAAGCGAAGCGTTTATGGATTCGATACGCGATCCGTCTATTGATCCTTCTATAAATAACTCTCACAGCTTCGAATTTTATTAAAGAGAATACATAACAATTACTATTGATTAAATACAAATCGTTTCGTTTGAAAAACGCAGTAGCCCTGACGTGGTACGTCTCGATGCAAACGAGCGACCTTGTTGCCGCACAATTGTACGTCTGTCTTTATTATTTTCAATTGGAAAAACGATGAAAAGATACATCATTGTGAATAAAAAACAAATTCGTACAACTACTACAAACGATGAAGTAGGATAAAAAATTGTATCCTCACAGGATTCATTCTCAATATGTAGTTATTTTCATCAATATTTGAAAATGAAATCACATTTATCATTAGAAAAAACTCAATTAGTTTTGAATCCAATTGTTAAACAA